AAATATATAATAATAGTTTAATAACATTTCAAAAGACAAGATGTAAACATCATAAGTGCATCTACCAAACTACAGAAAGGTTAAGTGCAGACTGACAAGAATTTACCTGTCTGATTGTAGTTTTTTAGATATTTTCAGAAGCAAAGACACTAAATGCAGCATGTTTTCTAACAAAATTTTCACTCTTTGCCTGTTGATCCCAGAAGAACTGTTGACCCGCTGCTGTATCCCAGCTTATTGCAGTGCTCCAGTCTGCCTGCTGTCATTGCCTGCCATTCATAACCAAGTAAAGATAAACATGTTTATCACTGCAGTGCGGTTTCATCACTTATGACAGGCCACAGTTAGAACTTTTGGAGAGACTGTATTAAAAGGTAAAGCAGGAGATACTGACTTGTGTGACGGCCGGTTTACGGAGGCAGTGAATATACGGTTTGGGCTCTGGTTCGATTTCTCCTCTGTGCATTTTGTAGCAGACTGCACAGTCCATCAGCGGCTGCATGAATGCACAAGAGCAAAACAGCATAGACAAGTTAGGGCAGGCCATTATCCTCACATTCCACAGTCCCGAGCCGAGTAACTTGCCGAAAACTTACTCTGTCGTTTCTAGGCTCACACGCTGAGGAGTCAGTGGTCCCTTTTTCACAAGTGGTGGGTTTAAGGTAGAAGTGGTGATAGAAGAAGCTTACATCAAAACCCATCTGAGAAGAAAGAAGCAAAGCAACCCAGATTAGTTTTAGTTCATGAAAGCATCATATTCTTTGTTGCTTATAGCACATTTCCTGATGATTTTAATCCAAATACACCATAAACCATTAAATAATAACCAGGTCTTACGAAACAAATGATAAAAACTGAGCAATAAAACTGGATTTGCTGTTCAGTACCTCATAGTCCGACTTCGAGACACTTCTTAAGAAGACATAATGATCTTGGATTCCAGAGAGAGAGTGGAGCTTTGCTAAGGCCAAATCTACTCCTTTCCTATACGTTTCAGGGAGTTCCTGTGCATTCGAGGACAAGAAGAAAGCTCCGACGCTGAACAGCCAAACCAACAGAGCAGCCATCGTTCTCCTTGTGGCCATAAGAGTGAGGGTGATGTGAAAAGAGCAACAGACCACCCCCTTCTGTACTGTTTACTCAAAGACAGAAGAACACCCTGCCCTTACAAGGGAGAAAAACAGGCGTTTCTGTTTTGATTATGCCTCAGTGTTGATCCAGAGTAGATGTCTGCATCCTCCCAACTTCTTTCTTTTATCAGAAAGATTTTTGACATTTAAAAAGTAGTTTTCTATCAGCACATTGATAATAAAGTAGTACTGAATTTCATGTAGAAAATCACAAAATAAAGTTAGATTGATAAAGTAACAAAGAGAACACATACTAAACTGATTTACATTATTTTACTGAAGGGAAATCTATTGGCGCTCCACAGGGTTCAATTCTTGGTCCTCATTTTATTTAACAACTGTATAGTTTTGTACTATAAATAATGTAAAACAAATATAATAATTCTTGGCATAATTTTAAATGTTAATCGTAAATATTAGCTGAACTGACCACCGACTGTATATAAAGGATTAACTAACCATTGTGATATTACTGGTTTGTTTGCC